AGCGGGTGGTATGCCTACCACGAGATATAATGAAATGGGAGCGGGTGGCACGCCTACCACAAGATATATTGAAGTGGGAGCGGGTGGTACGCCTACAACGAGATATAATGAAATGGGAGCGGGTGGTACGCGTACCACGAGATATAATAAAATGGGAGCGGGTGGTACGCCTACCATAAGATATACTAAAATGGGAGCGGGTGGTATGCCTACCACAAGATATGAGAAAATGGGATCGTGTTGTAAGCCTGCAACAAGATGAAGCTGAAAGTGAAAGTTGCCTTATTTCTCTTTATCTGTGTTAGAAGTTAAATTGTAGTTTCCTTACTATTCCTTGATATTCTGTTTTATCTGCTACCCCGGAGCATGTTTCCCCTTTCCCAACTTTGAGTGTTCATTACCTGTTTGCTTTTACGCCATATAGTATATAACTGCATAGGTTTATCTGGAGTCTGGTCCTAGCCTCGTCACTACCTCACCGGGGTTAGGCCAGACACTTACCAGCACATGGGGTCGGTTGTGCTGATACTACACTCTGTGCTCTTTTGCAGAGATCCAGGTCTTGGACAACAGCAGTAGCGTGAGAGCCATCTTTCAGTCCAGTGAGACACCGAGGTAGCCTTGTAAGCGTCCGCAGGCTCGGCGTCTCCTCTATCTTTATTTTAGTCTGTTATCTCATGTATTCGAGACAAACAATTTATATTTTTGTTTCCAACGGTTGTATTTAGTACTCTTAGAAGTTCGTGAGTAATGTGACACCAGTTCTTGGGTAGAGGCATATGTTGATTTCCGTATTATTGTTGAGTTTCTTTAATTTAAGTCTTCCGTACATTTATTAAATTTTTCTGTTTTCATGCTATCACTGATAATCATTAAAAAGAGTGATTTGTTAATGCAGTAAGCTGTTAAGGGTTGGCTTGTCTAACTCATATTAGTAGGCGCCATCACGACTTCCTAGGATGGGAAATCCAGGTCGTGACAAATTGGTATCAGAGCTCTAGGTTACATAGGTCTCACAACTCACGGACAAGCTTAGCAGAGTATGAGGGATCGATATGGAGACGTCTGTATTTATCCCCCAGAGGCTACAGAGTTAGGAAAATCTCACATTTGTTTTTTCTTGTCGTGCGGATTTGTTCCTCTAATGCTAATTGGATTTCTACTCTATTCTTTCGCAGATGGCGAGAACACGCGCTTCCTCATCTACTGCTCAGCAGCCCGAGCCCCCAGCAGCAGCTCCCACTAGGGGCAGAGGCCAAGGCCGTGCTAGAGGTCGAGGTAGGGGCAGAGTTCAGCCCCGAGCAGCAGCAGCAGTGGCGGAGCCTCAGGTTGATTTTGAGGAGGCGGTTCCGGCCCCAGCAGTTCTGGTGGGCCCAGATCAGATCCCCATAGGGTTTATTGCTACCCCAATTCTTCAGGACGCTCTGGTCCAATTGGTGGGCCTCATGGAGAGTGTCGCCCGAGCAGGTTTGCTTCCTGTTGCCCCAGCCACTTCTCAGGCTGGAGAAGGGTCTCAGACTCCTGCTATACGCAGTCCAGAGCAGCTAGCTCCTCAGATTCAGACTCCAGCAGTTTAGCCAGTTGGAGCAGTTTAGCNTAGCTAGGCCAGCCGGGTCGCCATCTTTGACTTGGGAGCAGTTTACAGTATTGTTTCTGGAGAAATTTCTCCCCGTTACTCAGAGAGAGGCCTATTGGAGGCAGTTCGAGCGCCTACAGCAGGGTTCCATGACGGTCACCCAGTATAAGACCAGGTTCATCGACTTAACTTGCCATGCTCTTGTCATAGTTCCTACCGAGAGAGAGAGGTTGA